TCTGGTAACCAAACACTGGCAACGGTCTCCTCTCCCACCCATCCTACCATTAGACTGCAAACAAAGGTAAGGACTACATCTTCTAGGCAAGATGCAGTAATATCCCTTACGATAACTTTTCATAAAACTCTTCAAGAGCTGAGTTTTATGAAAAGTGGTCATAAGGGATATTACTCTGTCTGTGGTGTTAGGAGCAAATTAGAGAGAAATAGGACTAGAATCAGGATGATTTAGTAAAAAACTGTTACAATAAGCTAGGCTAGAAGTAATAAGGGCTATATCAGTCAGGATTCAACAGGGAAAGAGAAGCCCTTCCAATTTTTTTTTTTTTAGAGGATAAATGTAATGCAGGGAACTAGTTACATAGGAGATGGAATTACTGATGAGCCGTATTGCATAAGATAAGTCAACCCAGAGATAAGCAACAGCAGGAAATCACTACCTGCCCTTGGCTGAAGAGACAAAGAATGGAGCCAGGGTTTCCAGAATCCTGGGACAGGGCCACCTGGTAGAAACTGGAATCACGGAGTGTCTGTTGGTGGGAGATGGAGTCACAGGGGAGACGGATGCAGTTTAAGGCAGAGAGAGGAACAAAATATATACCCTCCTGGTTTCCCCCTTCCTCTCACCCTCCAATTGCCCTCCAGGAAGCACAAGAGGTTAGAAAATGCAGCCTGAAAAACAGAGTGGAGCAGAGGAATGGTGACGAATAGCTCCGAGGGCAAATGGACCAGCACAAAGGCCTGTATCAAGATGGTGACAGTGGAGATGGCGATGAGAAGATGAAGTTAGAAGTTATTTAGAAGTGAAATAGGTGGAGTGGTGAGCATTTATTTCCAATTCTTATGACTGCTGGATTAATCACGGTACTCTTGTGTTGGAGTGTAGGAGATGAGGCTGGTTTGGGTCTTGTTGAGGCTGAGATGCCTGTTAGGCCTCCAGGTAGAGGGACCTGGGAAACAACCATATACTCAGCTCAGAAGCTCAGGAGAGATACCACACCGGAGAGAGAGAATGGATAATATTAGCCAGGGAGTGTATGGTGACAGAGAGGAAAAGCTGGGAGGGTTTAGGACACAGTCCTGAGGAGCACCCACACTTAATGGTTGGACAGAGAAAACTGAGGGGGATCAGCCAGTAATGAGAAGAGAGTCAGAAGAAAGTGATCTGTCAGAAAATAGAGACAAGGGTATTTCATGAAGGAAGGTTCTAGGTCTTCTATCTCAGTGACTTTGGACAAACCCAGTGCTCTCTTCTCCTACATTCCCTTTCTCCCTACCACCAGCCTCTGCTTGTCCCTACCCTGGCAGTGCCAGGCTTTACAAAGCCTTCAGTTTAAGAGCTTGTAAGCCTTGCTGCCACTATGGCAGCATGCGGTATAATGTTGGGGGCCACCAAAATGGTTCTGAAGCAGTCATAGCCTTCTGAGATCCCATCTGAAGGGCTAAGTGAAGTATCCGTGTGCTAAGAGCTAGTCTTACACAGAATCACATCCTGTGAGGCCAGAGTATAAGAAGACAGATATGTGAGGCCTCAGAAAGAGCTAGAGAGGGGCAGGTTTCTCCCCGTAGGTGCATCTCAGACAATGCTAAAGAAAGATGAGTCTGAGAGAGGAGAATGGAAGTGCTACAAAGAAAGTCCCAGAGGCATGGATGACAGGGAGAAATAGGGCCCGAACTGGAGCTGGAGCAAGGGATTCAAGCCAGGGCAAGCTGAAGGCCAGGAAGTAGGAGGAGATGGTTAGGACTGAGAATGGGATACAAGGATCTGAAGGTAAGAGACCAACTGGCCTGCCCTTCTTACATTACAGCCTGGTGTGCTGAGCATTTCCAGATGCGTTATTCTGCTAGAGCCATATGCCAACCTTAAGCTCCTAGTATCCTAGCTAAAGCAGCCCCCCACCCCCAGCACTTCCCACCACTTTTCCTAGTGAATCTTTGTAGCACTCAGCAAGCATGGAATAATCTACTTTGGTCATTTATTTATGTATTCTAACCCTCCACCCTCAATAGACTATGAGCTCCTTGAGAATTTATGTAACTGTTCCCTAGTGCCTGGAACAATCTAGCACAAAATCTGTGTGCACTAAAGATATGTTGACTGACTAAAGTCTAGAAAGGAGTTGCAAAGTAGTCCACACTATATAGCTGGGAAACCAAGGCCCAGAAAGATGAGGTGGCTATGGAAAGGCTGCATAGGCAGCAAGGGGCCAAGCTGGAACTGGAAGCACTCCAGGTATTCTGATTCTCATTTTGTCCCATCACCATGATGCCACAATTACTTCCTCACTCCTAGCAGGATACTTCAGGCCACCCAGAGAGGGAGGCTCATGTGCAGTGGCAGGAGCCCAGGCTTTGAAATCCAAGTTATGGTTCCAATCCTGGCTTTACTCCTTAGTGTCTGTGTGACTTGCAGCAAGTTACTTCACTTTTCTGAGCCTCTATTCCTGAGCGTAGAAACCTGGACCTCTCAAAACTTTGGGGAAGACTCATGGAGTCCACAGAAACATACTGAGAAGAGGGCGCAGCCTCCCAGCTTGTGGCTTTTGGTGGTAAGGAAAGATGAGTCTGAGAGAGGAGGATGGAAGTGCTATGAATAAATCCACAGAGGCATAGAAGGCAAGGAAAACAAGGCCTGTGCTGGAGCAAGAGTGAGAGATTCAAGCCAAGTCAGTGAGAGACCAGAGGCAGGAGAAGCGATGGGTGGGGCTCTCCATCAGGAAGACAAAGGTTGATCCTGGGACTTCTCAGGGTATTCCCCCTCCAGTCATCTTGGGGTCTGTGAGACCACAAGGTCCTCTGCCTGGCCACTGAACTGTAGTAACCAGTAGCACTGACCCTGCATGGGTGGAGAGAGGCTGGCAGGACAATCCACATGGCCTATGCAGAGAGAGGGAGGAGCAATGAGGGAATAGTGACACACTCTCAGAAGCACACATAGGCAGGTGAAACCACAGGGAACAACCATGTTTTCCCTGGATGATCCCAAGCCTACCAGGCAATAGCAGCTCAGCTCTGCCATTTATGAATTTGCTTGTGATCTTGGACAAGACCCTGTTGTCTCTGGTCTTCAGTTTCCTCCATAGAATGAGGACCTCAAAGGTTCTTGCTTGTTCTGCCGGCTATTCTACTTGACAGTAACAGATATTCCTTGCTCTGTACAGTGCTCTTTGTAAAGAACACGGGATATTCACAGCTGCTCAGGAGCAGGGCTCTGGCTGGCCCAGCTGAGCCACTATGCCAGTTGTGAAAAAGGTTCCACAGGGCAGCGGAAACGTCAAAAGCCACTTACCCTGGGCAAGACACTTTACCAACTAGAACTCCAGGATTCTGATTTCCAAAAATGGAAATAAGAGCCTCCTTTTGCCTTTCTTCCAATACTATATATTAAAGAGCTTGGGAACCATAAGATGTTAGCTTCAATGTCTTAGTCCCTCCTTGGGGACTCAGTTTTTTAACAGAAAAATGGGAGTAGAGCAAGCCGTTAGACTGTCATCTGTAAGTGCCTCACCATATTGTGTTCCTAATCCCCATGGTGCCCGGAGAGGATCACTGTGGCTCAGCTACAATGTGGCAGAGCATGAGACTCTTGCATCTGGCAGTGGCTCTAGGGGCTGCTGGAAAAGAGAGTGACAGAGAAACTAGTGGAAAAATATCTTCCTTCACCAGGCTTACCAAGAGTTTTGTCTGCAACACCGAAGTCCTCAGAGTGTGACTACAAGATGTCAAACAGCCTGTCACTTGTGGTTCCCATGTGGCATTTGGGTGAAGAAATATAAGGTTACTACCTTTGCTCTTGATGTGCCTTCCTCAAGAAACCTTTAGGACCAAAGTCCAGATGTCTGGTGTATAAAGCAGACTAGATGTTCTGCCTTAGTCAGGAAGCAGTACTTGGGTCATGCTAAGGAAGCAGCTGGGAGTTGGGCAAGGTTGAAATTCCTGGATCATAACTGCAGAAGGAATGAGTCACTCATCTGAACCAGGGAGGCCAGGAAGGCAGAGCCAGACTTAGAGGCAGGCAGTGCACAAGAAAGGGAGGGGCATCCTGTGACCAGGCCAGCAAGCTGGCCTTCTATGACACTACTGATCTGGTTTTCTTCCTGGATACTGTCTGTGTGTGAGAGTAACTGCCCCTCTCTGTGCCTACCTGCCTCTGTTGTAAGGGAAAGCGTTCATGGTTGGCAGATGCTCACTTCAGCTCACCGCGGGTCACTTTTACTGAAGGGATGGTTTGGTTTGGCAGCAAAATAATAGGAACAAACTTTTTGGGATGATGAATATATTTTGCACCTTCACTGTGGTTGTGGTTTCTTGGGATTATATTTTTCAAAACTCTGAATTTATTCTCAGTATTTCAGAGAAAAAGTAAGCAGAAAACCGGGACGGATATACATGACCTGAACAGCACCATTAACTACTCTGACCTAATTAAAAAAACAAAAAACAAAAAACAAAAAACAACGCATCCAACAATAGTAGAATAAGCATTCCTCTTGAGTGTGCATGAAATATTTACCAAGATATATGGTATTTTGGGCCATCAAACAAACCTTACAAATTGAAAAGAATAGAAATAATATAAAGCATCTTCTTAGATCACAATGTAATTAAGCTAAAAATCAAACACCAAGATGTCTGAAAAATGCCCAAATATTGGAAATTTTAAAATATGCTCCTAAATACCCTATGAGCCAAAGAGGGAGTCTTAAGAGAATTTTAAAAATATATTAGGTCGAATGAAAATAAAACTATATGTACAGAAATTTGTGGGATTCAGCTAAAGTATTTCCTTGAGGGAAATTTATAGCATATTTTAAATGTTTATATTAGAAAATAATATCTAAAATCAATAACCAAAATTTCCACCCTAGGAAACCAAAGAAAGAAGAGCAAGTAGAATTTAAAGAAATTGAAATGGACCCCACCCCCCTCCCTCCCCAAACTCCCACCTCTTCCCTCCTTCCTCCCTCCCCACCATCAGAGAGCACACAGACCCACACATCATTTTACAACAGGTTTATTTTATTTTGATCACCAAGGGGCACACCCTGTGGGGTGTAAAATATACTCTAGACCCTGTTGGCTATTTATCTGGGGTTAGACCTCTGGAGACCTCTCAGCTTGCCCTGAAATTACTGACTGCTCAGGGAGACACTGAAGAAGGTGGAGGTCTCCTCACTGTTTTGGTCCTGCTGTGGCTCATTTTGATGGAGTTCCTCATTCAGCTGGTCACAATGGCAGGATACTGTTGGCCCACTCCCTTCCTCAGGTTTTCCTGAAGCGGTGGTCTTTTTGGGAGAGACGTTTTTCCTGGAACTCCCTTGAAGGGTTCCTTTTCCCTTCCTAGTTGTCTTGGGAATCTGGAACAACAGGGAGATCTCAGAAGGGCACTGGTTTGGGGAAAGAGGATGGAGGAGGGGTGGGAACAGGGGCTTCATGAGAAAGGCATGGGCTGAGGTGAGGGTTGTGCTAGGTGAGGACAGGGCAGGAGTCTTGGGAGACAAGAGTCAGGGTCAAGAAAGGGAGGAGCCCAGGTGGTTCATTTATCTTGATAGGGCTTCTAGATCTAGGTTGAGAGGGGGCTTTCCTCTTCCTCGTCACTTTGGTGATGGCAGGTAATTGTTCTAAAACTGGGCTGGAGGCTTGTCATTTCCTGGTCATCTTCGCCAGCATCTCTCAATTGTCTATTCCAGGCTGCCTGGTCTCCCCATACATACCCCTCCCAGGACAATGACGAATGAGACTCCTGAGCTTTGATTAGTTCAGCAAGCTACTACTTAGCCAATGGTTGCCCTGTCGGGCAGAAGGTCTTAGATATCACAAACCACCTTCAGGACATTGTCGTGGGAGGGAGCGGGGAGGAGAGAGAGGAGGAGAGGAGGAAGGATGAGGAGGGGAGGGAAGGATGAGGAGGAAGCCAGAGTGGTCTGGTTGAAGAAAAGAGGGGCATTCCTTTAGAACTGCTAAAGAGCTTTCCCAAACAGATAGTGCTGCTCCTTTCCTCCCATGTTCAACTGGGGTGGGTGACATGGCACGGAGAGAATTATTCCTCCAAGCTTTTCCCCCAGGTCACTCCATTTCAATGCTGCTTTCTGTTTTCTCCTGCCATTCACCATTATCTAGTTAAAAAAAATTATTATTATTATTATTATTTTAATTTGCCAGAAATCTCTCTAAGATAATCTGGCTGTATTTAAGTCTATGTGCAGATTTCAATCACCCTACTTTCCTCCTAAAAATTTATCTTATACATCTTGAAGACCACTCACTTGGCTACTACCAGGGAACTTTTCCATCACACCTCCTTTTCCCAGTGTCCACAGGGGTTTCCCAGTCTCCCGGGGTTTCAGTTTTTCCCAGTCTGAAATCACTGCTTTCAGGCTGTCAAACTTCAGTGAATACACTTCCTCCACTGGACATCTTATGAATCTTGTTTCAACTGTGGGGTCATGCTCATCTCAGCAGGTGTAGTATCCAGGCTTGGATTTTAACAGTGTAGGGTGAATGAGGCAGATTTTCACCTGTCAGAAATCATGCAGGATGTTTGCATTGTAGAAAAATACAACCTAAAACTGATGAGTTCATGGAACAGGGTAGTGTTGAGTAGAATAGATCAACACTGTGCCTGTGGTTCTGTCCAGTGTAATAAGTGTTTTTCAAAAAAGGCCTTCAGATTGGAAAAAGACAAGTAAAACTGTCTTTATTTACAGAAAATAAGAGCATATGCAGACAATTCTATCAATCTTAAAAATGCTTCTATAACTAATAAGAGTTTAGCAATGGCACTGGATATAGATCATTATACCTGTATTTTTATACTAGCAATGAGCAAGTGGCAATTGAGACAAAACAATGTAATTTAAAATAAATATTAAATGGATAAATATGACAGAAGATGTATAAGATCTGTCCAGTGAAAACTATAAAACATTACAGAGATAAATTTAATGAGAAACTAAGTAAATAGTGATATAAACTTTATTCATTAGTCAAAAGACTGAATATTAAGAAGTCACTTTCCCCCAAGGTTTTTGAAAGATTCAGTGCAATCCAAATCCAAATTCCAGAAATGTTTAAATAGAAATTGGGAGGCTGACTCTAACATTCATATAGAAGTGTAAAGGCCCTAGAATAGCTAAAGAAAGCTTTAAAAAATAGAACGAAATTGGAGGGATTACCCTGCTTCATTTCAAGGCTTGTAAACTAACAACGATCAGTATAGTGTGGAACTGTCATAATTACAGCAATACATCAACAGAAAAGAATAAACTCCAGGAATGAATCCACATGTATATGCATCTATAGATAACTAATTATTGATAAAGATGCAAATGAAGATTAGAGGAGAGAAATTATAGTGTATTCAACAATTGGGTCAGGAACAATTGGATATCCACATGCAAAACTAAATTTCAATCCATTATCTATCTATCTATCTATCTATCTATCTATCTATCTATCATCATGCAAAAAGGGAGAGAGAGAAAGACAAGGATAGATATTTTAAGGAACTGTCTCAGGTGATTCTGAGGTCTGATACACCCAAAATCTGGCCTGTCGGCCAGCAGGCTAGAAACTGACATAGCGTTTTTACGTTCCAATCTTGTGGTAAAATTCCTTCTCCAGGAAACCTTGGTCTTTTAAGACCTTCAACTGATTGTATGAGGCACACCCACATTATGGAGGTAAACTACTTTACTTAAAATCAACTGATTTTAAACGCTGATCACATCTAAAAAATACCTTCACAGAAGCATCTAGACTAGTGTTTGACCACACAACTGAATACTATAGTCTAGACAAGTTGACCCATAATACTAACCATTGCACATGCCTTGCCCCATATAAAAGTGTAACTCAAAGTGAATCACAGCCCTAAATGTCAAAAATACTTTTTTTCTAGAAGAAAACAGAAGAAAAATTTGTTCCCTGGGGTTATGTCTTAGTTAGCTTTGACTTCCATAACAAAATGCCATGGATTGTGTAGCTGAAACAACAGAAATTTATTTATTTTTCACAGTTTTGGAGACTAAAAGTCCCAGATAAAGGACTGGAGGTGGTCTTGTAGATGGCCCTTTCTCATTACATCCATTCTTGGCATTTCTTCTGTGTATGTGCATGGAGAGAGGGAGGGAGGAAGGGTGAGAGAGAAAGAGAGAGAGAGACAGTTCTCATGCAAGCACAACAGTGCTTTCTTGTGTCCCTTCTTATAAGCACACTAATTCTATGGGATCAAGGCCCCACCCTTACGACCTCTTTTAACATTAATTACTTCCTTAGAGGCCCCACCTCCAAATACAGACATACTGGGGCCGAAAGCTTCAAAATATGAATTTGACAGAGGACACAAGCATTAGCAAAGAATAGACACATAGATTAATAAAACAGGATAGGGCTTAGAAATAGAACTGCACACATATAGTCAGGTGATTTACAACAAAGGCAATAATGGTAAAAGTATAGTTTTCCCAACAAATGGTGCCTGAACAATTGGACATCTATAGACACATAACAATAACTTAGACATATCCTTACATATTTCAAAAAAATTAACTCAAAACACATCATAGACCTAATGCAAAATGCAAAATCCATACAACTTGTATAAGAAAACATAAGAGTAAATCTATATAATTTTCAGTTTGGTGGTGAGTTTTTAAATTTATCACCAAAAGCATCATCAATGAAAGAAAAATTTGCCAAGTTGGACTTTATTAAAATAAAAATCATATGCTGTTCAAAAGATGGTGTTAAGAGAATAAAAACAGAAGCTACAGACTAGGAGAAAACATCTGTAGTATACATATGTGGTAAAGAACTTGTCTCTACAATATACACAAATTCTGAAAACTCGACGATAGAAATAAATGAAAACAAAGATCTGAACAGACACTACACCAAAGAAGATATACAGATGGCAAATAAGCGTAATAAAAGTGCTGAACATCCTTTGTCATTAGAGAATTGTGTACTAAAATGAGATACCACTACACACCTAATTAGAATGTCTACAATAATAATAAAAAAAAGACCAATTGCTAGTGAAGATATGGAACAAAAGAAACTCTCATTCATTGATGGTGGAAATGCAAAATGGTACAGGCACTTTGGAAGACAGTTTGGCATCTTCTTACAAAACTGAACATAGTCTTATGATAAGATTCAGCAATCCTACTCCTAGGTATTTACCCAACTAATTTGGAAACTTATGTCTACATAAGAAATTGTATATTAATGTATACAATAGCTTATTTAATAATCACCAGAAACAGGGGCATCCAAGATGTATTTCATTTGGTGAATGGATAAAAAAACACATAGATTAAAAAAACAGAATAGCGCCCCAAAATAGACCTGCACACATATAATCAGGTGATTTATGACAAAGGCAATAAAGGTGAAAGTATACTTGTTCCAACAAATGGTACATGAACAACTGGGTATCTAAACAAAAATAATAATAAATAACCTAGACAAATCCTTAGGTATTTCACAAAATTAGCTCAAAATACATCATAGAGCTAATGCAAAATGCAAAAACTATACAACTTCTATAAGAAATCATAAGATAAAACTTACATAACTTTGTTAAAGAGCTTTTAAATTAAACACCAAAAGCAAAAGTAGCAATGAGCACACCTAGCACCCAGAAGTAGATTTCTAGAACCACTTCCCATTGAAAGGAACCAGATATTTGGAGAAATTGTTTATTTACGACTGGGGCAGGGCATAAACCTGATGAGCCTGGGGCATTTTGTAGCCCTAGAAATTAAGGGCTAAAGAATATGAAAAAGGACATCACAGTGTTGCAAATCTAGACCATGGAAAACTGGAAAGAACACAAGATCTGTTTCTTTCCAACAACAACGAAGCAATGGCAAGAAAACAGATCATGTGGAGGGGACGTACAGGTGATAAAAGATTTAATTACAAAAAATCACTATGTAATACTATTTTTGGGTACTCATTCAAAGAAACAAATTTTTATAAAGTATAAGTCTTCCAGATAAGTGCATAAAACAACTCAACATTTCATAATCATTTAATTTTTTAGAAATGAGAATTGTATTGGGTTTTTGTTTGTAGTGATTGTGACCCAGAGGTCACTACAATCACGGGTGCTCCAGCCACCCAGGGAACACCTCGCCTGGTACCCGCAGCATTCTCTGCAAGTGGTACAGCTGGCTACAATGTCCTCATATTTTAAAAATGAATATTGAATTATTTAGAAATGAAATGGTATGCTGTCTTTGATTTGCTCCACATTATTCCAGCAACTGAGATGCAGGTAGGTGAGTGTCTAACTGGAACCAGATTTGCTGTGTATTTAAAGTTGTTGATCCTGAGTGTCAGGTATGCTGGGTTCATTATGTTAGTCTCTCTATTACTCTATATGTGTGAGGCTTTCCTGATAAAAACACACACACACACACACACACACACACACACACACACACACACACAAAGTAAAAACGTTTTTTATCGTAAATATCATGCCATTAAAAATGAAATCCTAAGTGAAACTATTTTGTAGAAATAAAATAAATAAATGACCAAATTGATCCAAAAAGAAAACTTGAATTAAATGACACAAACTGAAACTACAATATTGAAAGCTCAAGCCACCCTCAAACGTTCCAGGTTAGTCAGTTTTGGAGGCTGATTCCACCAAATGATCGAGGAAAACTAACCATCATCTTATCTCAACTCTTCCAAAGCACGCAAAATATAGACAATTCTTCAATTCATTCTCCCAGATTAACCTTCCTGGATTCAAAAATCAGATGAGGACCACCCCCCACTCCCGATGGAAAAAACACATAAACAAGCTCTCTTACATAGCAGCAAATATGTAATTTATGTAAATTAGTAGAATATTAAATGAACAAACAAGCTCTGCCCAAGGAAAGAAAACATGATTTAACATTAGAAAAAAAAAGTTTCATTGTAATTTTTTACATACAAAATAGAGGAGAAAAAATTTGATCACATACATCAATGGGTACAAGGAAAGCTTTTGGAAGAAACTCAATATAAGTTCATGGTAAAAATATTTAGTTAACCTATATTGAAAGAGAACATCCATTTCCAAAAATCAACAGCAACCAAATGTGAAAAGTTCAAAGAATTATCATTAAAGGCAGGAACAAGAAGTAGATGTAGGCTATTATCTCTACGTTTTAAATCATCACTGAGACACAAAGTCAGAGCTATAAGTATCATAATAAATAAGGGGCGTGAATATAGGAAAAATACATAATGTTTAGTGATAATACTCTTATCATTCTTGAGAATTAAAAGAAAAAGGCATGTGGAATATCCAAGTGAATGGGTTTTCAGAACGAGGTGTACAACAGATTACTATAGCAAAATCAAACTCTCTGCCACACAATAGGAATAACTATTAGAATTAATTAATTTCCATTAATTAGAACAATTAATAGAAAATATGCCATTTGCAATAGCAACAAAATCCAAGAATTACCAAAAAAGAAGCCTAAGAAAAATGTGTAAGGTCTTTCTAGAGGAAACTATCAAAGTATACTGATAGATTTAGGTAAAAGGAGTTTGAAATAAGTAGAGGACCATAACATATTCATTGATCAGGCGCAGAACATCGTAAAAATGTCAATTCTGCTTAAATTACTTACAATTTATTGTCTTACCTGTAGCTGCCAAAATTACAGTCAAATTTAGGCTGCTGTTCTCTGCTTCCCTAATCAACTCTGGAAAATTATATTAGAGAAAAAGAAAGAAAGAAAAAACAACAATATCAGCACTAAAATCTAAGCAACAAAACACAGAAAGTCCTGGGTGAGACTGAGGACTGTACTTTGAACTGGTACTTGTGTTTGGGGTGGTGTCGATTGGAGAGGGGTGGGCTGCAGGGATGTTGGAGAAGTCTTTAGCCTGCTTAGACGTCAGATGACAGAAAGAATAGGATGAACATTTTAAAATTTCCACTTCACTGCATTGCGCAATCTGAGGCAGCACCTCAAAACACGATTCCAGTAGCCCTAGGGTAATAGCAGGACAGCAGGAAAATTGGCTTGGTTAAGGCAGTATGGTTCCAGAGATCTGCTAATTACAACCCGAAACCAACTTAGTGGGTGAGGATTGGCATTATTATTATTATTATTATTATTATTATTATTATTTTTGAGACTCTCGCCTGGGCTGGAGTGCAATGACTCGATCTTGGCTCACTGCAACCTCCGCCTACCGGGTTCAAGCGATTCTCCTGCCTCAGCCTCCAGAGCTCTGGGATTACAGGCGCCCACCACCACGTCTGGCTAATTTTTTAATTTTTTTGTTTTTGTATTTTTGGTGAAGACGCGGTTTCACCCTGTTGGCCAGGCTGGTTTCGAAAAGAATTCTTTTAACAGAACATAAACAATAGAATAGAAGTTGAATAGGGTATCAGAGTGAATCATGCAAACTAAGGGTAGGTATTCTTTCATAGAAATAAATATATATGTTGCCACCTACATATATCCTCGGAAGATATGTAAAATATATTTCTTTGAGGAAAAAAGGTTTGCAAAGCCCAGCTCTGGCTGAGGAGGAGCCCCTGTAGGAAGGTGTGCATCTTCTCCCAGAGGTCACTACAATAACGGGTGCTGCAGCCACCCAGGGAACACCTCGCCTGGTACCCGCAGCCATTTTCTGCAAGGGGTACAGCTGGGCAAATGCTCAGAGGTGAGAAAAACAGAGCATCTCCAACCCATCACTTCAACAAAGAGCCAGGACCCAGGAGGAGGACCCTCCTGAGTGAAGACTGAGGGTCCACCCCTGCACAAAGAGGAGCCACAGAATCCAGCTTAGTCCCTCCTGTCAGCCCTGGAAGATCCCAGCGGCCTTGTCGCCCAAGGGCACCTCTCCTCCCACTGTGACCTCAGGGGACTCGAAATCAGAACCTTGGTCTGAGGGGAGCAGACACCATCCGCAGAGAACAGGGGTCCTGGCTATGCAAGGAATCAAATTCAGAATTCTGAGGGAGGACTGAGGGGCATGCCTACATCAACCCCTACCTCCAGGACCTCTCGCCTCCTCCCCCACCCCAACTCCCACCCTGGTGGAATCAGGTTCTGCCCCTACTGTCAACCCAGGTGGCCCCGATGTGACATCACTGACTTGCGCATTGGGAATCAGAGAGACGCGAGGTTGTCAGTCTGACCAGCAGCTTGAGGTTCACGGAGGGAAGCAGGCGCAGGATCTCTGAGGAGGCAAAGTGAGGGCAGGCTGTGCCAGGCATCAAAGTCAGGACCCTAAGAGAGAGCTGAGGGTCCCCCACGCCCATTCCTATCCCCCACCTCATTCCCATCCACACTCCTAACCCAATCCACACCCCCATTCCCTACCAGCACCCCTATACCCCAAACCCCGATTCAACCCCCCCATGCCCATCCCCTACCCCCACACCCGCACCGCCACCCCCTAACACCCATATCCCCATCTGGGCAGAATCCCCGGTTCTGCCCCTGCTTTTAACTCAGGAAAGCCCCAGGTGCCCGAATGTTATGCCACTGACTTGCACACTGGGGGTTAGAGAGAAACAAGCTTCTCGGTCTGACCTGCAGCTTCGGATTGGCAGAGGGAAGCCCGCCCAGGCTCTATGAGGAGGCAAGATGAGATGTTGCGGGAGGACTCAGGAGGCTCCCCACCCCACATAGACAACCTCCCAAAATCCAGCTGCCAGCCCTGGGACACTCCTGGGAGGAATTATCAGTCTGGGCGGTGCCACCACTCCACTGCCACTTAAGCCTCAGGGGGCTCCAGAGTCAGAGCTTAGGGTGATCAGCGAAAGACTGATGGGGACAGGCTCTGCCAGACATCAACCTCAGAACCCTATGAGAAGGCTGGGCATACCCCAGCCTTTTCCCATCCCCCAACCCCATTCCCATCTGCCACCCCATCCCATTCCCAAACTCATCCACACCCCCATCCCCCACCAGCACCTCTATCCTCCCCAACCCCTACCACCCTCATACCGCCATCTCCTACACAAAAATTCCCGACCCATCCACTAACGTCACCCCTCCCTCCCCCATCCACGTTGAATCGGGTTCCGCTTCTGCTTTCAACCCAAGAAAGCCCCAGGTGCCCGGATGTGAGGCCACTGACTTGCGCATTGGGGGTCAGAGAGAAGCGAGCTTCTCTGTGTGACCGGCAGCTTGGGATTGGCAGAGGGAAGCGGGACAGGCCCTGTGAGGAGTCAAGGTGAGACGCTGAGGGAGGACTCAGGAGTCCCCACCCCAGATAGATGACCCCAAATAATCCCGGACCACTCCTGCTGCCATCCCTGGGTTACCCGTGGGTGGACTTCTGAGTCTGGGGCACCCAGCACCCCACTGCCTCTGAAGTCGCTGGGGACTCTGGAATCAGAGCTTGGGGTGATCACTGCAAGACTGGTGAGGGCAGGCTCTGCCGGGCATCAACCTCAGGACCATAAGAGAGGGCTGAGCTTACCCCACCCATATTTCCATCCCCCACCTCCATTCCCATCCCCCACCCCGTTTCCATTCCCATTCACAACCCTTTCACCCCCCCACCCCCACCAGCAATCCTATCCTCACCAATCCCCCACCACCCTCATACAGCCATCTCCCACACAAAAATACCCGACCCCTCCACCAGCCTCACCCCTCCCACCCCCATCCACTCTGAATCGGGCTCCGCTTCCGCTTCCAACCCAAGGAACCCCACGTGCCTGGATGTGATGCCACTAACTTGCGCATAGGGGGTTAGAGAGAAGCGAGCTTCTCTGTCTGACTGGCACCTTGGGCTTGGCGTAGGGAAGCGGACCAGGCCCTGTGAGGGGTGAAGGTGAGACGCTGAGGGAGGACTCAGGAGTCCCCACCCCAGATAGGTGACCCCAAATAATCCCACACCACTCCTGCTGCCAGCCCAGGGCCACCCGTGGCCAGACTTCTGAGTCTGGGGCGCCTACCAACCAACTGCCTCTGAAGTCGCAGGGGATCTGGAGTCAGAGTATGTAGTGATCAGTGCAAGACTGGTGAGGGCAGGCTCTGCCGGGCATCAATCTCAGGACCATAAGGGAGGAGTGAGCGTACCCCACTCCTATTCCCATCCCCCACCCGCATTCCCATCCCCCAGCCCGTTTCCATTCCCATTCGCACTCCCAAATCCATCCACACTCCCATCCCCCACCAGCACCTCAGGACCATAAGGAGGAGGAGCGCATTCCCACTCCTATTCCCATCCCCCACCCGCATTCCTATCCCCTCAGCCCAAGTTTCCATTCCCATTCGCACTCCCAAATCCATCCACACTCCCATCCCCCACCAGCACACGACAGCTCCCCCAACCCCCCACCACCTTCATACCTATCTCCCCACACTGTACCCCGCCCTCTCCACCAACGTCACCTCCTCCCCATCCACATTGAATCGCTCCGCTTCTCGCTTTCAACCCAAAGAAAGCCCCAGGTGCTCCGGATGTGAGGCCACTGACTTGGCGACTGTGGGTTAGAGAGAAGTGAGCTTTCTGTGTGACCAGCAGCTTGGGATTGGCGGGAGGGAAAACGACAGGCCCTGGGAGGAGTCAAGGTGAGACGCTGAGGGAGGACTCGGGAGGCTCCCTACCCAGGTAGATGACCCCAACATCCCAGACGACCCCCTGCTGCCAGCCCTGGGCCACCGGGTGGGCTGACTTCTGGAGTCTGGGGCACCCAGCACCCCACTGCCTCTGAAGTCGCAGGGACTCTGAATCAGAGCTTGGGGTGATCAGTGCAGACTGGTGAGGCAGACTCTGCCGGGCATCAACCTCAGGACCATAAGGGAGGGGCGGCGCAATTCCACTCCTGTTCCCATCCCCCAGCCCGTTTCCATTCTCTACTCGCACTCCCAAACCGATCCACACTCCCATCCCCCACCAGCACCTCGGATATTCCCAACCCCACCACCTTCATACCGCCATCTCCCACACAAAAATTTCGCCTCCACCAACGCTACCCCCTCCCTCCCCCATCCACGCAAATAGGGTTCCGCTCCGCCAACCCAAGAGCTCTGTGCCCGATGTGAAGCCACTGATCTGCGCACTGTGGTTAGAGAGAAGCGAAGCCGGGTGTGTGACCGGCAGCTTGGGATTGGCGAGGGAAACGGGACAGCCCTGGGAGGAGTCAAGGTGAGACGCTGAGGAGGACTCAGAGGCCCCTTACCCAGGTAGATCTACCCCAAATAATCCCGGACGACCCCCTGCTGCCAGGCCTGGCCACCCGTGGGCGACTTTCTGAGTCTGGGCACCAACCACCCCACTGCCTCCTGAAGTCGCAGGGGACTCTGAATCAGAGCTTGGGGTGATCAGTGCAGGACTGGTGAGGGCAGGCTCTTGCCGGCATCAACCTCAGGACCATATGGGAGTGGGTGGGCGTGCCCCACTCTCACCTCATCCCCCAGCCCAAGTTTCCATTCCCATTCGCACTCCCAAACCGACCACTCCCATCCCCCACCAGCACCCGGATATTCCCCAACCCCCCACCACCTTCATACCGCCATCTCACACACAAAACCCTGCCCCTCCACCAACGTCACCCCTCCTCTCCCCATCCATTTAAATAGGGTTCTCGCTTCCGCTTCAACCCAAGAAAGCCCCAGGAAGCCGAGGCTGAAGCCACGACTTGCGCACTGGGGTTAGAGAGAAGCGAGCTTCTCTGTGTGACCAGCAGCTTGGGATTGGCGGAGGGAAACGGGACAGGCCCTGGGAGGAGTCAAGGTGAGACGCTGAGGGAGGACTCAGGAGGCCCCTACTCCAGGTAGACGACCCCAACAATCCTCGACGACCCCCTGCTGCCAGGCCTGGACACCGTGGGCGGACTTCTGAATCTGGGCACCCACCACCCACTGCCTCTGAAGTTGCAGGGACTCTGGAATCAGCTTGGGTGATCAGTAAGACTGGTGAGGGCAGAGACTCTGCCGGCATCAACCTCAGGACCATAAGGGAGGGGTGGGCAAAATCGACTCCTGTTCTTATCCCCCAGCCCGCTTCCATTCCCCATTCGCACTCCCAAACCGCTCCACACTCCCATCCCCCACCAGCACCCGGATATTCCCAACCCCACCACCATACTGCCATCTCCACACAAAAATTCTGCCCCCTCCACCAACGTCACCCTCCTCCCCTCATCCACGCAACAGGTTCCGCTTCCGCTAACCCAAGAAAGCCCAGGTGCCTCGGATGTGAAGCCACTGATTTGGCGCAGACTGCGGGTTAGGAGAGAAGCGAGCTTCTCTGTGTGTGGACCGGCAACTTGGGATTGGCGCAGGGAAACGGGACAGGCCCTGGGAGGAGTCAAGGTGAGACGCTGAGGGAGGACTCAGGAGGCTCCCTACTCAGGTAGACGACCAATCCTCGACGACTCCCTGCTGCTGTACTCTGGGCCACCAGGTGGGCGGACTTCTGAGTCTGGGCACCAATCCACCCCACTGCCTCTGAAGTCGCAGGGGACTCTGGAATCAGAGCTTGGGGTGATCAGTGCAGGACTGGTGAGGGCAGGCTCTGCCGGGCATCAACCTCAGGACCATATGGGTGGGTGGGCGTACTTCACTCCCTGTTCCCATCCCCCCAGCCCGTTTCCATTCTATTCGCACTCCCAAACCGACCACTCCCCATCCCCCACCAGCACCCGGATATTCCCCAACCCCACCACCTTCATACCGCTATCTCACACACAAAAATTCCCTCCCCGCCTCCACCAACGCTACCCTCCTCCCCCATCCACGTAACAGGGTTCGCTCGCCAACCCAAGAAAGCTCCCAGGTGCTCGGATGTGAAGCCACTGACTTCATGACTGGGGTTAGAGAGAAGCCTAGCTTCTGTGTGACCAGCAGCTTGGGATTACGGAGGAACGGACAGGCCCTGGGAGGAGTCAAGGTGAGACGCTGAGGGAGGACTCAGGAGGCCCCTACTCCAGGTAGACGACCCCAAATAATCCCGACGACCCCGTTGCCAGGCCTGGCCACCCGTGGGCGCGGACTTCTGAATCTGGGGCACTCCACCACCCCACTGCCTCTGGAAGTTGCAGGGGACTCTGAATCAGCTTGGGGGTGATCAGGTGTAAGACTGGTGAGGGCAGACTCTGCCGGCATCAACCTCAGGACCATAAGGGAGTGGGTGGTACCCGACTGTTCCCATCCCCAGCCTGCTTCCATTCCCCATTCGCACCCCAAACCGACCCACACTCCCATCCCCCACCAGCACCGGATATTCCCCAACCCCCACCACCTTCATACTGCCATCTCCCACACAAAAATTTTCTCCGCCCTCCACCTCAACGCCACCCCTCCTCCCCATCCACGCAAATAGGGTTCGCTCGCTTTCAACTCCAAGAGCCCCAGGTGCCCGGATGTAGTTGCCACTGATTTGCGTGACTGGTGGTTAGAGAGAGAAGCGAAGCCTGTGTGACCGCAACCTGGGATTACGAGGGAAACGGGACAGGCCCTGGGAGGCCAAGGTGGAGACGCTGAGGGAGGACTCAGGAGGCCCCCTACTCCAGGTAGACGACCCCCAAATAATCCCGACGACCCCTGCTGCCAGGCTCTGGCCACCGGGTGGGCGGACTTCTCTGAGTCTGGGCACCAACCACCCCACTGCTTCTGAATGAGGACTCTGAATCAGAGCTTGGGGTGATCAGTGCAGGACTGGTGAGGGCAGGCTCTGCCGGGCATCAATCTCTAGGACCATAAGGAGTGGGTGGGCGTACTCCCACTCCTGTTCCCATCCCCAGCCTGTTTCCATTCTATTCGCACTCCCAAACCCACCACTCCCATCCCCCCACCAGCACCTGATATTCCCCAACCCCACCACCTTCATACCGCCATCTCACACAGACAAAAAATTCCCGCCCCTCCACCAACGCCACCCCTCCCTCCCCCATCCACGCAAATAGGGTTCTGCCTGCCAACCCAAGAAAGCCCCAGGTGGATGAAGCCACTGACTTAAGATCAGGGTTAGAGAGAAGAGCTTCTGTGTGACCAGCAGCTTGGGATTGGCGGAGGAAACGGGACAGGCCTGGGAGGAGTCAAGGTGAGACGCTGAGGGAGGACTCAGGAGGCCTCTACTCCAGGTAGACGACCCCAAATAATCGCAGACGACCCCTGCTGCCAGGCCTGGACACCATGATCTCTGAATCTGGGGCACTCCACCACCCCACTGCCTCTGGAAGTTGCAGGGGACTCTGAATCAGCTTGGGGTGACTGGGGCAAGACTGGTGAGGGCAGGCTCTGCCGGCATCAACCTCAGGACCATAAGGGGAGGGGTGGGCGTACCCCACTCCTGTTCCCATCCCCCAGCCCGTTTCCATTCCCATTCGCACTCCCAAACCGACCCACACTCCCATCCCCCACCAGCAATCTCGGATATTCCCCAACCCCACCACCTTCATACCGCCATCTCCCACACAAAATTTCCTGCCCCTCCACCAACGCCACCCCTCTCCTCTCCTCTATCCACGTTAAATAGGTTCCGCTTTCCCCTTTTCAACCAAGAAAGCCCCAGGTGCCTGACAAGCCACTGATTTGCGCACTGGGTGGGTTAGAGAGAAGAAGCCAGGTGACCGGCAACTGGGATTGGCAGGGAAACGGGACAGGCTCCTGGGAGAGTCAAGGTGAGACGCTGAGGGAGACTCAGAGGCTCCCCTACCCAGGTAGACGACTTCAAATAATCCCGGACGACCCTGCTGCCAGGCCTGGGCCACCCCGTGGGCGGACTTCTGAGTCTGGGGCACCAACCACCCCACTGCCTCTGAAGTCGCAGGGGACTCTGGAATCAGAGCTTGGGGTGATCAGTGCAGGACTGGTGAGGGCAGGCTCTGCCGGGCATCAATCTCAGGACCATAAGGGAGGGTGAGCGTAATTCCCACCTCCTGTTCCCATCCCCCAGCCCGTTTCATTCCCATTCGCACTCCAAACCGACTCCACATTCCCATCCCCCCCCACCAGCACCCAAGGCTATTCTCAACCCCCAACTCACCTTTCATACTGCCATCTCACACACAAAAATTCCCGCCCTCCACCAACGTCACCCTCCCTCCCCCATCCACGTTGGGCCAACAGGTTCCGCTTCCGCTAACCCAAGAAAGCCCCAGGTGCCCGGATGTGAAGCCACTGACTTGCGCACTGGGGTTAGAGAGAAGTTTAAGCTTCTCTGTGTGACCAGCAGCTTGGGATTGGCGGAGGGAAACGGGACAGGCCCTGGGAGGAGTCAAGGTGAGACGCTGAGGGAGACCAGGAGGCCTCTACTCCAGGTAGACGACCCCACAATCCCCGACGACCCTGCTGCCAGGCCTGGGCCACCTCGTGGGCGACTGAATCTAACTCCACCACCCCACTGCCTCTGAAGTTTCAGGGAACTCTGAATCAGCTTGGGGTGATCAGTGCAAGATCAGGAGGGCAGGCTCTGCCGGGCATCAAACCTCAGGACCATAAGGAGGGGTGGGCGCATCTCACTCCTGGTTCCCATCCCCCACCCGCATTCCCATCCCCCAGCCCGTTTCCATTCCCATTTGCACTCCCAAACCCATCCACACTTCATCCTCCACCAGTGCCGGTATATTCCCCAGCCCCCCACCACCTTCATACCGGATCTCCCACACAAAGGTTCCTGTTCCCTCCACCAACTACCTCTCCTCCCCCATCCACGCTGAATTGGGTTCCGCTCCGCTTTCAACCCAAGAAAGCCCCAGGTGCCTGGAGGTGAGGCCACTGACTTGCTCACTGTGTTAGGAGGAAGCAAGCTTCTCTGTGTAACTGGCAGCTTGGGATTGGCGGAGGGAAACGGGACAGGCCCTGGGAGGAGTCAAGGTGAGATGCTGAGGGAGGACTCAGGAGTCCCCACCCCAGATAGACGACCCCAAATCCCGGATCACTCCTGCTGCAAGCCCTGGGCCACCGGTGGGCGGACTTCTGAGTCTGGGGCGCCCACCACCCCACTGCCTCTGAAGTCGCAGGGGCCTCTGGAATCAGAGCTTGGGGTGATCAGTGCAAGACTGGTGAGAGCCGGCTCTGCCCGGCATCAACCTCAGGACCATAAGAGAGGGCTGAACTTACCCTACACCTGTTCCCATCCCCCACCTCCTTTCCCATCCCCCACCCCGTTTCCATTCCCATTCACAACCCTTTCACTCTCCCACCCCCACCAGCAATCCTATCCTCCCCAACCCCCTACCACCCTCATACCACCGTCTCCCACACAAAAATACCCGCTCCCTCCACCAACGTCACCCCTCCCACTCCCATCCACGCTTCCACTTTCAACCCAAGGAAGTCCCAGGTGCCCGGATGTGAGGCCACTGACTTGTGCATTGGGGGTTAGAGAGAAGCTTCTTTGACCGGTACCTTGGGGCTGGTGGAGGGAAGCGGGCCAGGCCCTGTGAGGAGTCAAGGTGAGATGCTGAGGGAGGACTCAGGAGGCCCCCACCCCAGATTGGCGACCCCAAATAATCCTGGACCAGTCCTGCTGCCAGCCCTGGATCACCCGTGGGTGGACTTCTGAGTCTGAGGCACCCACCACCCCACTGCCTCTGAAGTAGCTGGGGACTCTGGAGTCACAGCTTGGGGTGATCAGTGCAAGACTGGTTAGGGCAGGCTCTGCCGGGCATCAACCTCAGGACCGTAAGAGAGGGCTGAGCTTACCCTACCCCTATTCCTGTCCCCCACCCCCTTCCCATCCCTCACCCCGTTCCCGTTCCCATTCCCATTCGCACTCCCAAACCCATCCACACTCGCATCCCTCTGCAGCACCCCATCCATTCTCCCCAATCCACCACCATCCTCATACCGCCGTCTCCCACACCAAAAAGCCTGCCCCCTCCACCATCCTCATCCCTCCCACTGCCATCCACGCTGAATCGGGTTCTGCTTCCGCTTTCAACCCCAGGACACCCCAGGTGCCTGGATGTGAGCCCAATGACTTGCGCGTTGGGGGTTAGAGAGAAGCGAGCTTCTCTGTTTGACCGGGAGCTTGGGATTGGCGGAGGGAAGCGGGCCAGGCCCTTTGAGGAGTGAAGGTGAGATGCTGAGGGAGGACTTAGGAGGCCCCCACCCCAGATAAACGACCCCAAATAATCCCGCACCATTCCTGCTGCCAGCCCTGGGCCACCCGTGGGCAGACTTCTGAGTCTGGGTCACCCGCCACTCCACTGCCTCTGAAGTCACAGGGGACTCTCAAGTCAGAGCTTGGGGGGATCAGTGCAAGACTGGTGAGGGCAGGCTCTGCCAGGCGTCAACCTCAGGACTGTAAGAGAGGGCTGAGGGTCCCCCACCCCGTTCCCATTTTCATCCACACTCCCAACCCCATCTACACCCCCATCCCCCACCAGTACCCCTATCCTCCCCAAACTCCCACTGCCCTGATATCCCCACCCCAAAACCTCTACCCCCATCCAGGCTGAATCACTGCCTTCATATCCCCACCCCAAAACCTCTACTCCCATCCAGGCTGAATCGGGTTCCAGTTCCACTTTCAACCCAGGGAAGCCCCAGGTGCCCGGATATGATGCCAGTGACTTGCGCATTGGGGGTTAGAGAGAAGCTAGCTTGTTGGTCTGACAGGCAGCTTGGGCTTGACAGAGGGAAGCTGACCCAGGCTCTCTGAGGTGGCAACGTGAGAAGCTGAGAGAGGACTCGGGAGACCCTCCCCACTGCAGATCGATGACCCCAAATAATCTAGCACCACTCCTGCTTTCAGCCCTGGGTCACTCGTGGGCGGACATCTGAGTCTGGGGCCCACCACCCCACTGCCGCTTAAGCCGCAGGGGATTGTTCAGTCAGAGCTTGGTGTAATCAGTGCAAGACTGGTGGGGACAGGCTTTGCTAACCTTCAACGTCAGGATCCTAGGAGAGGGTGGAGTGTCCCCCACCCCATTCCTATCCCCTACCCTGTTCCCATTCCCATCCGCACTCCCAACCCCATCTGTACCCCCATCCCCCACCTGTGCCCCTATGCTCCCCAACACCCCCCACCAGCCTCATGCCCCCCCTCCCACCTTCATCCCCATCCGTGCAGAATCTGGTTACACCCCTGCTTTCAATCCAGGCAAGCCCTGGGTGGCCGGATGTGATGCCACTGACTTGTGCATTGGGGATTAGAGGGAAGTGAGGTTCTGGTTCTGAAGAGCGGCTTGAGATTGTCAGACGGAAGGGGGCCCAGGCTTTGTGAGCAGGCAGTCAGACTCTGAGGGAGGATTCAGGACGCCCTTATCCCTGATAGAAGGTCCCAGCCCTGGACCACTCCGCAGAGGCTGACTTCTCAGGCTGGGCCGCTCCTCCAGCTTCCCACCCCACCATCCCCACAGGAGACTCTGGAGTCAGAGCGTGGTGTGACCATGGAAGGGATGCTTAGGAGAGGGCACCATCTGGGCTCTGCCAGGCATCAAGGTCAGGAATCTCAGGGAGGGCTGAGGGCCTCCAAGAGTCCACTGCAATCCCCACTCTCATGACCCAACCCCCACTTCACTGCCATTCCCACTCCTATCCACCACCCCTATACCTCAACCCAGATCTCCATCCACTCTGCCTTTCCACCCACACCCCTCCCACCGGAACCCCCACCCCGACCCCCACCCTGGCAGAATACAGTTCAGCCCCTGCTGTCAATCCAGGAAAGTCCCTGGTACCCGAATGTGACGCCACTGACTTGCTCATTGGGAGTTAGAGAGAAGTGAGGTTCTCCTTAGGGGGAGCTTGACATCAGCAGAGAGAAGTGAGCCCAGGCTCTGAGGAGGCAAGGTGAGAGGCTGAGGGAGGTCTCAGTAGGGGCCCCCCCCAGATAGAGGGCCCCAATTAATCCAGCACCACCCCTACTGCCAGCCCTGGACCACCCAGGAGGCCGACTTCTCAGGCTGGGCTGCTCCCCACCACTGCCCCTGTCGCAACCCGTTTGTTTAAGCCACAGGGGACTCTGGAGTCAGAGGTTGGTGTGATCAGGGCAGGGCTGGTTAGGAGAGGGCATGGCCCAGGATCTGTCAGGAATCAAAGTCAGAAACCTGAGAGGGAACTGAGGTCCCCCAAGATCCCACTCTAACCCCCATTCCCACAAATCCGCTACCACTCCGCTGCCCCATTTCCCATTCCTTGCCCTCCAACCTCACCAGGCAGAATCCAGTTCCCCTTCTGCTATCAATCCAGGGAAACCCCAGACTTGGTGCTGGGACGTTTTGGGGGTCAGAGAGAATCGAGGGCATGGTCCTGAGGGGATAATTGAGATTGACTGAGGGGAGCAGGCCCAAGCTCTGTGACGAGGCAAGGTGAGACTCTGATGAAGGACTGAGGAGGCCCCCACTCCAGCTAGAGGACCCCAAACAATGGAGCTCAGCCCCTGCTGCCAGCCCTGGACCACCCGGGGGAAGACTCAGGTTAGGCCATCCCAGCTCCCACTGCCAATAAAGCCACAGGGGACTCCAGTCAGAGCTTGGTGTGCCCAAGGCAGGGCCCAGGCTCTGCCTGGCATCAGGATCAGGACCCTGAGAGTGAACTGAGGGACCTACATTCCCATCCCTTCCACATTCCAGCATCCCCCCACCATCCAGATCCTCAACCCCATCCCCAATTCCGTTTTGCAGAATCCATTTTTTCCCCTGCAGTCAACCGACGGAAGACCTGGGAATGATCAGGCACTCGGATCTTGACATCCACATCCAGGGCTGAAGGAGGGAAGGGACTTGGTATCATGAGCAGAGTCTCAGGGTAGCAGAGGGAGGACCCTGGCCCTCCTGGGAGACGAGGAAGGACTCAGGAGACCCAGCATCCCAAGGCAGGGAGCCCACCCCACCCTGTCTGAGAATGAGGTGCCTCCTCTTTTAGCCTCGGGAATCCAAGGGATGGTGACTCAGGTCAGCAGACGGGTGGGTTCCAGCCCTTCCAGGATCAAGGAAAGGAAGACGAGGGAGGACTCAGGGGGCCTTGCATTCCAGATCAGTGGAGACCTGGGCCCTGGGAGGTCCTGAGCAAGGTAGCCACATGTAGCTCATGCTTCCTGCACCGTCGAGGTCACAGAGAGGAGAGGGCTATGGTCTGAGGATACCTGTGGCTCAGAAAGATGGGACCCCGCAGAGTCTGGCTGTCCCCTGTTAGCTCCGGGGGACCAGAGCAGGGATGGCCTTATGTGCCAATCTTACTTGTACCATAGGCAGGAAGTTGGAGAACCTTCAGGAAGATGAGGTCTTGGAGTAAAGGGGCAATATCTGCTCATCTCAGGGGGTTGGGGGTTGAGGAAGGGCAGGCCCCGTCGGGAGCAAACATAAGTGACCCACAGGAGGCTATCAGAACCCTCACCCCAGGACCAAAGGGGTCAGCTGTGGACTCCCCGCACAGGGGTGACAGGATGTGGCTCTTCATTTCTGATTGCAGATCTCAGTGAGGTTAGGACCTTGTTCTCAGAGGGTTACTCAGGTCAACACAGAGACCCCCATCTGGTCGACAGACACAGTGGTCCCAGGATCTGCCAAGAGTCCTGGTGAGGAATGTGAGGGAAGATTGAGGGTACCACAGGGCCACAACGCAGACGATGACTCCACAGAAATCAGCCTTGCTGCTGTTGTCACCCCAGAGAGCATTGGCTTGGCTGTCTGCTGAGGTCCCTCTCTTGTCCTGGGATCACTGATGTCACGGAGGGGGAGGCCTTGGTCTGAGGGGGGCTGCACCCAGGTCAGTAGAGGGAGGGTCGCAGGCTCTGCCAGGAGTTGAGGTGAGGACCAAGCAGGCTCCTCACCCAGGACACATGGGTTCCAATGAATTTCGACATCTCTTGCTGTCGTTCTTCAGAGGACCTAGGCACATGTGGCCAGATGTGGGGCCCCTCATGTCCTGTTTCCTCTCAGGCATGTGAGCGCTTGATCTGAATTTCTCAGGCCAGCAAAAGGGTGGGATCCAGGCCCTGCCTGGAGAAATGTGAGGGCCCTGAGTGACCACAGAGTGGACCATCCACTCTATGAGAGTGGGGACCTCACAGAGGCCAGCCTGCCCTCTTGATAGCACTGAGGGACTGGGGCTGTGCTTATAGTCGGCACCCTAAGGGCCCATGGATTCATCTCCTAGGAGCTCCAGGAACAAGGCAATGAGGTCTCGGTCTGAGACTTGTGTCCTCAAGTCACAGAGCAGAGGGTGCACAGGCTGTGCCAGCAGCGAATGTTTGCCCTGAATGCACACCAAGGGCCCCACTTGGCATAGGACACGTGGAACTCCAGAGAGTCTGGCCTCACCTCCTGTTAGTCCTGCAGAATCGACCTCTGCTGGCCGGCTATACCCTGAGGTGCTCTCTCACTTCCTCCTTTAGGTTCTCAGGGGATAGGCCAACCCGGAGGACAGGATTCCCTGGAGATCACAGAGGAGCACCAAGGAGAAGATCTGTAAGTAAGCCTTTGTTAGAGCCTCCAAGATTCGATTATCAGCTGAGGCCTCTTACATGCTCCCTCTCTCCCCAGGCCTGTGGGTCCCCATTGCCCAGCTTTTGCCTGTACTCCCACCTGCTGCCCTGACCAGAGTCGTCATGTCTCTTGAGCAGAAGAGTCAGCACTGCAAGCCTGAGGAAGGTGTTGAGGCCCAAGAAGAGGCCCTGGGCCTGGTGGGTGCGCAGGCTCCTGCTACTGAGGAGCAGGAGGCTGCTGCCTCCTCCTCCTCTCCTCTGGTCCCTGGCACCCTGGAGGAAGTGCCTGCTGCTGGGTCAACAGGTCCTCCCCAGAGTCCTCAGGGAGCCTCCGCCTTACCCACTACCGTCAACTTCACTTGCTGGAGGCAACCCAATGAGGGTTCCAGCAGCCAAGAAGAGGAGGGGCTAAGCACCTCTCCTGACCCAGAGTCCTTGTTCCGAGAAGCACTCAGTAAGAAGGTGGATGAGTTGGTTCATTTTCTTCTCCTCAAGTATCGAGCCAAGGAGCTGGTCACAAAGGCAGAAATGCTGGAGAGAGTCATCAAAAATTACAAGCACTGCTTTCCTGTGATCTTCGGCAAAGCCGCCGAGTCCCTGAAGATGATCTTTGGCATTGACGTGAAGGAAGTGGACCCCACCAGCAACACCTACACCCTTGTCACCTGCCTGGGCCTCTCCTACGATGGCCTGCTGGGTGGTAATATCTTTCCCAAGACAGGCCTCTTGATAATCGTCCTGGGCACTATCGCAATGGAGGGCGACTCCGCATCTGAGGAGGAAATCTGGGAGGAGCTGAGTGTGATGGATGTGTATGATGGGAGGGAGCACATTGTCTATGGGGAGCCCAGGAAACTGCTCACCCAAGAGTGGGTGCAGGAGAACTACCTGGAGTACCGGAAGGTACCCGGCAGTGATCCTGCACGCTACGAGTTCCTGTGGGGTCCAAGGGCCCTGGCTGAAACCAGCTATGTGAAGGTCCTGGAGCATGTGGTCAGGGTCAATGCAAGAGTTCGCATTTCCTACCCATCCCTGCGTGAAGCAGCTTTGAGAGAGGAGGAAGAGGGAGTCTGAGCATGAGTTGCAGCCAGGGCCCGGGGCGGGGGTAGGGGGGTGGGTGGCGGCTGGGCTGGGCCAGTCATCTGATGGCCCTGTGCAGCAGCTTCCCCTGCCTTGTGTAGCATGAGGCCCATTCTTCACTGTTTGAAGAGAGTAGTCAGCATTCTTAGTAGTGGGTTTCTGTTTTATTGGGTGACTTGGAGATTTATCTCTGTTTCCTTTTATAATTGTTCAAATGTTCCTTTTAATGGATGGTTGAATGAACTTCAGCATCCAAGTTTATGAGTCGTAGTCACATATATTGCTGTTTATATAGTTTAGGTGTAAAAGTCTTGTTTTTTATTCAGGTTGGGAAATCCATTCTATTTTGTGAATTGGGACATAATAACAGCAGTGGAGTAAGTATTTAGAAATGTGAATTCACCGTAAGATATGTGAGATAAAGAAATTAAAAAATACTTAATTCCTGCCTTATACATACTCAGTCTACTCTGTAAAATTTAAAAAATATATATGCATACTTGGATTTCCTTGGCTTCTTCGTGAATGTAAGAAAAATTAAATCTGAATAAATAATTCTCTGTGTTCACTGGCTCATTTCTTCTCTATGCACTGAGCATCTGCTCTGTGGAAGACCCAGGGTTAGTAGTGGAGATACTAGGGTAAGCCAGACACACACCTACCTGTAGGGTATTAGAGTCTAGGAGCTGCAGTCATACAATTAAGGTGGCAAGATGTCCTCTAAGATGTAGAGGAAAAGTAAGAGAGGAGTGTGGGTATGGGGCTCCAGGTGAGAGTGGTCGAGTGTAAATTCCCTGTGTGGGGCCTTTTGGGCTTTGGGAAACTGCATTTTCTTCTGAGGGATCTGATTGTAATGAAGCTTGTTGGGTCAAGGGCCAGATCCTCAGAGGAAGACGGAAAAGCCCAGATTGGAAAAGTGCTCTGAGCAGTTCCTTTTTGACAGTGGATGAACAGAGAAGCCTCTACCTGGGGCGGGAATGGAAGGTGTCTTGTGAACACAGTGCATGAGCTAGGTGATGGGCACCCATTATTTGCAAGGGTTTCCTGTGAGATAAACTTGTGTCTCCCCAAAAGGGAGACCCAGAAGCCACTGGCCAGGTGCTTTTCTACCTGGCTGGGAGAACCAGAACTGACTATTAAAAAGGCATTCTAATTAGGTTATCTCAAGTGCAATGTGACCAATTGTAAGCAGGGGCTAGATTTTGGGTGGTAACAATGAAAATAGTGGTATAGATGGAAAAGCAGCTGGGAGCGAAGGAAGGAGTTGGTCTTTGACTCAAATTCTAGGAGCTTTGAGCTGCATCTGGCTGGGGAAATCTCCCACACACCCAAATTTTGAGGCATATTCTCTAAGTGATAATTCTTACTGAATTTTATGGATGAAACTTCCTTATTTGGCTAATGATTCCATGCCCTATTGAATTGGATATTCTCTGATCAGTCTTGAAGAACAATGACAACAAAATCCCAGAATGCTAGGGTCTGGGGTCAAACAATATCAGAAATAACAGCTATCTGCCATTCCTTAAACTTCTAATTTAATTCCAGGCCCTGAGCCAGGTGCTTCACTTACATTGCACACACTCCAATAGTCCTACTAGACAGGGCTTATCACATCTGCTTAGAAGAATTCAAGGCTCACAGGGCTTGTGAATTGGGACATAATAACAGAGTATTTCCTGGGTATCCCGAGGATCATGTGGCTAGTAAGGAACAGGGCTGGAACCAGACCCCTGCTCTGAATTTCTTTAGAGCCCATGCTGTCCCCATTCCCCCCAGCCTGAGGTTGACCTCCCGACTGGTACTTCATTTCTCTTCTCAGCACTGCACCATGTCTCTCAGGTGACAAAAATAAGGACCTTGAGGCCAACATTACTAAAAGCAGGCTTGGCAATGAGAATCAAACACCATTTATGGGGCTGGTTCGTGCTGGGTTCCTTGAGAGTTGAGTCTGCCCAGGTGTGGGCATTTCTGTCCAGTCCCAGCACTTTCTGAAACTACAGCGCATTTCCTCTGGTCACTTCCATGTGTCCTGTCTGACTCTGGAAACTTACCTGCTGACCACCTTGCCACTGGTCCCCACAGAACAGCCCCAAATCACCTGCTCACCTTTTGACAGGGGGCATTCCTTCTCCCTGTAGAAGTCCTCTGGCTGTCCCATCTCTCACCCAGGAAGCCATGTGATATAAGCAACCTTTTTGATATAAAGTTTACATAGGGACAGTGACTTTTAGACAACTGGGTGTCACTCTGGTTACCTTCAACACAGTCTTCAAGTGTTTTCCAAATGGGTTGAGTAGAGTCTGATTTGCCATATTATCCATCAGTTTTTGGCATGTCACCCTGAAGTTAAAGGGAGTTTGGAACCACCTTGATACTTGAAATTGGACTTTAACAGGGTGTTTTATTTGAAATTCAGCTCTGAACACATACACAGATGAATGCTTTAAAACCAAAGCCTCCCTCATGAGTATTAGGTGGGGAAAAACTTTGAAAATCCCAGTGGAACAAACATGTACATACTGAGGCTGAATTCCTATATCCCTATAGTCTCCCAGGAGGTGAAAAATGATTCCTTGGAATACATGTCAGCTCTCATGAAAAAGGAATAATTAAGCAGCCTTCTACTGCCTCTTGTGTGCTTACCTGCCCCATGGAAAAATACTGGCTTTCAGTGTGCCTAGAGGCACTGACAGGTGTTCAGGTATGTGGAGGGTAGCAGAGTCTCACAGGTTAAGATTTTAACCAGGAATCAAATGGAAGAAAATATTCTCGGCCTACTTAGAGGGAGCTAAATGAGAAGAACTTATGAACACAAAGAAGGAAATAACAGACACTGAAGTCTACTTGAGGCAGGGAGGGTGGCAGGAGGGAGAGGATCAGAAAAGATACCTATTGGATACTGGGCTTAATACCTGGATGATGAAATAATATATACAACAAACTCCTGTGACTCTTGTTTATGTATGTGACAAACCTTCACATGTACCCCCAAACCTAAAATAAAAGTTAAAAAAAATAAAGGGTATTGCAAAGGGAAGCCTTCCTGCTGAGACTTTCAAGATTCTTGGACAGTGGTGATCCTACATTTGAAAGCATCAGTCACATATTAGGCACTTGAACAAGTCGGAGAACTTCAAGGCAAATTTGACCTTCTCAGAAACTCCTAGAAATGAGATGGATTGTGTAACACCAAATTAAAATATTAATAGTTGCCTTTTACTGAGCACTTACTATGTAACAGTTTATGGGGGAGACTATAGTACTCACCCACACCTTGTCTTCCTCTCTTTCTTTGACACATAGGCACAGTTCACTTGCAGTTAGGAAGAGTAGTGTGACAACCTGTTACCACTGAAACAAGAGCAGAAGCATTGTTTGTCACATCCAGGCATGTGACAACCAATGTGCCGTTCCATGCTTTCTCCCTCCTTTCAATGGCAAACGTGGCAGCTTCAGCTTGAGATGATGGAATCACAAGGTGAAAGTAACATGGATCCCCAAGTCATGTGGGAGTGGAGAGTCTCTGCCAAACCAAGTCAGAACTTAGGTGTGCATAAAATAAACTTCTGTTGTGTCAAGCCATTGAAATTTCACGGTTTGTTGCATCAGCTAGCAGTTACTTTAACTGACACAGCTGCTACTTCTGTGTTAGATGTAAATATTTTTTATTTAAAGGGTGGTAGTTAGTATATTCTTATTGCAAAAATTATAGGAATGTAGATAATTTACAATTTTAAACTTCGCAAAGCTCTTCCACGGTTTAGCCCCCTCCTCAGAGGTCCCACAATTAACCATCTGGTGTGTATTATTTTAAAGCTGGCTCTAGGCTCTTCACTGACACATAAGCTATAACAATATATTATTTTTATTTAATATAAGAGAATAATGATGTACATATTGACCTGCCATTTGTGTTTGTCCCTTCATAAAATGGATATGGGATCTTTCCACAACAGTACATAATCTATCTCTCTTTTGAAACTACTTTCTATAATTCTAAAGTAGGCATGCACCATAATTAATTAAACTCTTTCTTCCTAATAAACACATACATTATTTACCATTTGCTGTATGATATACTAAATAAAATAAATATCTTTGAATATGAATTATTGGGCAAACATGAATGTTTTCTTGTAAGAAATGTATTAACATGGGTATTGGGTTAAAATGAAAAGGTTGTTAATAGTTTAACATTTTATAAATATTTTAAAATTTCATTACAAAAAATACTGTACCAATTCACATTCTAATAAAAATCACAGATTATTTAACATTCTGAAATATGGACAGGACATTTCTACTTTGCTTTGAGAAGGATTTGGTCAGACTCAACAGGAGCCAGGGACGTGGAGCAGAGAGGACACCCTCAGGCTGTGAGGGTCATTGGGAGGATCCAGGGGAGAGCAATTACCAGAGTATATGAGAGAGACCACATGTGAAACCAGGTCCACAGAGCCCCAGGCAGGCTGGTACTCAGTGCTCTGAATCCAGAGTTCAGCCCAGTGGGGTCAGGAACCTGAGGAAGAAAAGTGGGAAGGGAAGAGGGGGAACAGGACAACAAACAGGAACAGATTTGGGAAATCGGGCACCATCATCACCAATTGGACTGGACCCTGTGATCTGAATGCACAGGCCTATTGGCTGAACACATCGGCCGCGTGCAGGACACCATACCCTCCCTCAGAATTTCCTTCCTTTCTGTCAGGAAGCGCATGGCTGACTTCCTGCACCTTTCTGGGCAAGCTGCCTCTCTTGACAATTCCAGTGGTCCTGTGCAACGTCTCCAGCATTCCAGGGCTGGGTGCTGTCTTCATGCCTGCTGGGGGCTGGTTTTTTATCCCCTGGCGACCCTTCGCCAAAGCTGGGCTATGTGAATGGGTTGGTGAGTGATGACAGAAAGCCAAGATGGACCAGGAATGCACTTGAAGGTGGCAGTGTGGCTGCACGGAGGGAAAATTGGAGGAAGAGTGCCCAAGGACTAATCAGCTCAGACTCTGCACATGAAGAACTGTGTGTTGACGTGCAGTAAAAGTGATCCAGGTGGTGAACGTGTCTCAGATGGCTTCCTGTGTCTTCTGAGCTCTTGGACCACAAGGGGCAGGTGTCCTGAAGCTGTGACCGCTTGCCTATTTTGCCTCCAGACACTGTGTGGAGGGCTGGTCCAAGGTGTGGACATGGGCAGGTTGGATGGAAACCCAGTAGAGATGGCACAATTCCTTGTTAAACTGACAGGGATGTACAGGGTCCAATGTATGAAACATCACGCACTGTCCTGTTGGGAGCATCCTCATCTCCATGATGGTGTTTGGGCCTGGAGAGGAGGCATCCAGAGTGACACTCTCAGTGGTAGTTTCCATGGAAATTTTGAACTCAAGTGATCATAGGTGAGGGAAGTGTAGGTTTCTTGATGGAAGGAGGAGGCCTAGGTGGGGGCAGGCTCTGAAATTTATATCAGTGATTTCATTGATGCCTTGCCTGGTAATTTCATTCGTTCATTCATTTGTTCATCCAGCAAACATTTATTGAACACATGCTGAGGACACACCAAGTCAACAATACA